GGTAATAATTGTTTCTCCATTTATTCTTCAGAGTTCTTCTTTAAATTAAACATTTCCAAGTTATTATTCTTTTTTCATAAAGAAATTGATTTCTAGAACAGCTAAATATTTTGTTAGAGGACAAAGGAAGGGATGACTGAAACAAGGGGTAAGTCCTAGGTTTTTGGCCATTAGACATTGAAAATAGACTTCCTCACTGGACCAATGAGAGGTTGTATGGAGGGTTTTCCTGTTAGAAGGATAAGACTGTACCCAGGATGGCTATCTATGATTTTAGACTTGCATGTACTTTGTCTGAGAAATCTGGCCCACACAAATAGATTACTAGCTTGTACTCTATATAATGGACTAAACTCAAAGTTAGTGATGATTCACCACTGAGGGAAGATGGAGAGAACTGCCAAGCAAGACCTAAATTAAAGTGGTGGTGGAAGTCATAGTGGAAAATGTCTCTTCGGTTTTGTTATCTAAGGCTAGATTCAGATTCATTTAATTCAACAGATATTTCTTGATCATCTTCTATGAAACAAGCTCTGGCAGAGATTCAGAAGAAAATGAAACAGTTCTTGAACAAGAAGTTTTAGAAGTTCTAGACTGGGCCTGGATAATGGTAGAGCTGAAAATTGTCAGAGTTTTTATTTTTTTGTCTTTTGGTTTTGTTTGTTTTTTATTAAATTACTAATCAAGCTAGATCAAGATCTTGCTGAGACTCACATATGCTATCATCTTGGATTCCACAACTCCTAAGCCACCACTAATGAGCAAAAGTGTAAGTTTCTAAACTGGACAAGTATTAATTTATTTGAATCCTTGCTCATGTCCTAGACTGACTTGGGGCCATAAGACCTGAAGCCCATAGGTCACCTTACTTCCCAGGCTCTCTATTCTAGCCTGTCTCTAATCCCTGGAGAAGACAAGGACAGCACATTTCCACTCTACTTCTCTAGGCTCTGTGTTTGTTTTTCACACACTCTGTGAACTGGATCTTATGCCCGTTTGTTGCGTTCCTGTGTCTAACCCTGGGACTGCTTCTTTTGGTCTTGGGTCTGTTTTTTGCCTGCTGATTTTCTGCATTCTCTGTTCTTTACTCTGTCTTTGTAAACATTTCTAGGACCAGAACCTCCAAGATGTAAGGCAGTGGTGAACAAGGTACAACTATTAGGGAGTAAAGCCTATAAAGGGAGTAAAGCTGGTGAGAAATGGAGCTGGTGGAGAAGAGAGAGGGAGGTGAGAAAAGAGTGGACTCCAAGAAATTGAAAAGGCCAAGATTAAAACTTGGAATAGAGAGTCTAGAGTTGACACTCATGGTAAGAAAATAATGTGAAAGAGCCGTGGAAGCTTAATTTTGAGCCCCTTACACTACATTCCCCAAAATGATTCTAGTTTTTTTTTCTGAAGGTCAAGATTTATAATGCTAAGGATGTAAAACATTAAAATGATCACAATAGATTTAGTACTAGCCATACCACACTGAGGTCAGCAATCTGAAGATTAAAATTTTATATGCCGCCTCAGAGATTTTTAGGTTATCTTATATGTATAAACATGGGTTTGTATTTGTGAGTGCATTTATGAATGAGTGTCCTATTTTTCTTTTGGGATGATGGGGGAAAGCACTAAGATATCCACTCACCCTACACACCACAGCGGGCACAAATACATAAGGGATTTGAACAGTCACTTTCTGGATTGGGTCTTACAACAGTCCTCTGTGACCCATGGACAAGCCATGAATATTTTTTCCCCTAAAAGTAGCAAAAGAGATCTTCACATAGACATATTTGTCATAAAAAAAGAAATAAGTACAAGTTTTGGATTATGATGATCAAGATATTACTGAAAGACCTGTCCTATATTTAGTTTAGTGCTGGGAGAGGTAAAGCACATAGAAATATAAGACATGTTTTTGCAATTTCTTAGTCTGAGGTGAGAGGAGAAAAATGCTCAGCAATCAATCAGAAACCAGTAAATAAAATGGAAGTAGAATGCTTGCTAAAGACAAAAAACCCTACTCAGAATTCTGTGATCAAAGACAGAGACAGCACTAATAAATGAAAAATAATGTACAGTTAGTGACAACT